GTCTAAAGAACATGGCGGCTTCAGCCGATGAAACTAGCGTTAGCGTGGCTATCGAGCAAGTTTTATGGGAATTACAGAGTATTTGTTCACTGAAAGAAGAGCAAAACACTGCTCTGGAGGCTTTTCTCAGAGGAAAACATGTTTTTGCTCTTCTCCCGACTGGTTTCAGCAGAGTTTGATCTATCAATTGGCTCCTCTTCATCGTCGCTCTGTTAGTACGTCATATGCTTCGTTGATCCGATTGGTTTATTTGGCCCGTCTATCACCAACATAGGCCAATCAGCTAACCAGTGTTTTCGCCCCTTCCCAAAATTACTTCAACGGAAGGTTTCCAGATGGATATGCGGAGCAAATCCATCTGGCGGAGTCAGGTTAGCAGCGATTGCCCGGATCACAGACTTCCACAAAAATGGATCACACTTTGTTAAACTCAAGGGTTAACTGTCGAATCAGGTAGAAAGGAGCACCACAGGGGAAGGATGCCTTTGTCATCATTGGATGCATCAAAGATGGACAAAAAGCTGAGTAAATGGAGCTAGTAAAACAGGTTTCACCTCTCTTCCAAGAGGCTTCTTCAGTTCTAACTGGTGGTGGGAGCACTGAGATTAATAAACAGTAGGTGCAACAAAGATTTATGGGGGACAAAAGGTGGGTGTAACCCCTCCAACTGGATTGGTCAAGGAGGTTAACGGTCGTTAGGGGATTCTAATGGTTCGTCAAATTCCTCGTCAGAGTGGTTACAGTCACATGCCTCATTGGAGCTTCTTCCCAGCTATTAATTCCCTTTGCAGCACAGTGCAATGATCTGATTCTGAGTGTGGAAAAAGCAAGAACATTATTGTAGATCCCAGAAGAAACAGCAAGAAGCTCAATGCTGTTAGCATCATGGAAGAAGAATTGGAAACGTCTGAATGAGTATTAATAAAAACCTCTGTGTTCACTGTTCAACCGGAGGCAAAGTCTCACTGGGACAGAGAGCAGGCTGTACTTCTTTAGAAAGCTTACACCAGATCTTTAAATCAAATCAAATCAAATCTATTAGTATAGCCCTTTACCATAACCAAATGGTGCCCAAAGTGCTTTACAACAAAGCCATAAAAACAATACATAACACATATAAAAACATACAGATGCAATTAAAAGTGCTGTAGTGGTGCAGCGCTGCAGGACATTAAAAGCCTTCCAGAGGTGCATAGAAAGGAGCACACAGAAAGAGGACATCTAAGAGACAGTTTTATAGTCAGAATTAAATGCTAAATTAAAAAAGTGGGTTTTAAGCTTTTTTTGAAAAAAGGCTGAGGTCATAGAGAAAATAGCCTTTCACCATAATCAGAGTAGAGGCCTACTTTCCAAATTTTATAATATTTTACTTTTGGCTTCAAAAGAAAATAGTCTTGCATATTTACAAGCTTGGAAAGCTGATCTGCAAACTGAAATCCCTGAGGATGAATGGAATAACTCATGTCTATTGGCACAAACGCAAACTATTAACACAAGGTTTAGATTATTACAATACAAATGGTTATTTAGAACGTATATCACTCCTGTAAAACTTCACCATTTTAATTCAAATATTCCTGATATCTGTGTTAAATGTAATATAAATAAGGGCACTCTTTTCCATTGTATGTGGCAATGTATAGAGATTCAAACTTTCTGGAAGGAGGTTACCATGTTCATCTCCCGTTTGATCGAACAGGATGTTCCAATGGACAGTAAACTTTGCTTATTGCACATTTTTCCAGATGGACTTAAAGGACTTATGAAGAGAAGGAAGCTTTTGAGTTTTTGCCTTTTGCAGGCTAAACATTTGATTGCTCTGAAGTGGAAGAACACAGAAAGACCAAAGATAAATGAATGGATTAAACTATTGACCAACAACCTGGCAATGGAAAAGCTGACATATATAACAAAAGGAAAGCTTGAAGACTTTAAGGATATTTGGTTTCCCTTCCTACATCTTATAAAATACTGTGACTTGTAAAGCTATTTTTTCCTCGTTTTTTGAGTGTTTAGATAGAGTGAGCTCTGGGGTTTAGAGTTCTTTTTGGGTGGGGGGTGGGGGGAGGGAATGCACCTTGCTTTGTTTTTTTTTGTCTATTTTGCTTTATTTTTCATGTTTCTGTGTGTGTGCGTTTGTTTTTGTATGTCTAACAGAAAATTTTAATAAAAATATCTTTGAAAAAAAAATAAATAAATAAAATAAAATAAAAAAAAAAGGCTGAGGTCAGTAGTGGTGCGGTTATCAGGGGGTAGTTTGTTCCACAGTCTGGGAGCAGCGACGGCAAAAGAACCATCGTCCCACTGTTTGAGTGTTGACCTATTGACCTCTAGCAGAAGCTGACCCGAGGAGCATAAAGCTCTGCCACAATTGCGGAAAGTTAAAATCTCAGACAAGTAAGAGGGGGAAAAGCCATGAATGGCGTTAAAAACAAACAGCAGAAGTTTAAAATCGATTCTAAAACGGACTGGAAGCCAGTGGAGTGACGACAGCACAGGAGTAATGTGTTCACGTCTGGACGTGTTTGTTAAAAATCGGGCAGCAGCGTTCTGCACAAGTTGGAGACGAGAAATTGATGACTCACTGAGGCCAACGTAAAGGGCATTGCAGTAATCCAGTCTTGGACTAATGAAAGCATGGATTGCCTTCTCAAGATCCTGCCGACTGAGAAAAGACTTGACTTTGGCCAAAAGACGGAGCTGGAAAAAGGTTGAGCTGACAACGGAGCTAATTTCTTTGTCAAATTTGAGCCCATTATCAAATGTTACCCCGAGATTTTTGACAAGGCATTTAAAAAAGGGGGCTAGATTGCTGGAGTTTGTGGCGAGAACATTCGAAATTGATGGAGAACCAAACAAAATGCATTCGGTTTTGCTGTCGTTTAAGTGCAAAAAGTTCTGTGACAGCCACTGCTTTATATCTGTGATGCAGTCCAGTAGTTTCCTTTTTAATCCACTTCAGTTATTCACTACTTGTCACATGACATCCAATACATTTACATAAATCTGTTTTATAACAAGATAAATTAAAAAGCAAAAGTTCTCTGTATTTGAACTCTTTGTTCTTTTATCTATTTGTATGTAAAAATAAAAAACATTTCAAAATTCTTTGCAGACTCACATGCAAACCTGCATTATAGTTAAAGAGATGAGAGCGGGTCACTCCTCACACATATTTATACATGCATTACTAAGATTATTGAAAGCAATTTAAACTATTATCAATACTCTGTCAAATTGTCATTGAACCACTTAACCTATTCTCTAAAGATGTGTTACAGACACTGCTTAATTTACTTTGAGTCATGCTCACCTCTTTTTTGCAGTGGTCTCTTTTCCTACCACAGAATTGTCACACAAAAAAAAAAAGGTGACACTTGACAACTTACTATGTTCCTCAAACATTGATCATTTCAACACTTCACCTGCATCGTGGCACACACACATATATAATGGGTGAAAGAATAAACCTTGTAAATCCGTGTGAATCTGTTTCTCATTCATTCTTTCATTTTTCAAATTAAAACCAAAAATTAAAAAAAAGCAAAAAAACAAACTGGTTTTCTCAATATTTGTTTCCAAAACAAAAAGGAAAACACAGATAATGACAGAACGAGGTGAGCAGTGCTTCGGAGTTTATCTCTTGAACGACATCTCTGGCATTTTTCTATGTTTCAAAACTTTAAATATTAAAAAACGACTTTTGTTTCTTGCCTTTTCAGGAAATAGTAGGATTTCTAAGGAGAGATGTATTATCCTGTATTTCACATTGTAGCATAAGTCTGCAAACATCAGTATAGCCTGAAAAGGTTGTTTGGTTCTAATTCAATTAGACCTTAATTTTTTTAAATCCCCTCTTCACTGTGAACTCTCCCCCCT